AATGTTTTATGAAAAATAAAATTATGTTTGTCAGTTGATAAAAAAAATTAAGCAGCACAATTTGAATAATTCACTGAAGATAAACATAGTTGAAGAATAATTTTTTGTTTGAAATCGTCTTAATTTTTAAATGTATAAATATAAATATTTATTTCTTATTTATATATAAATGATTAACAGTGTTTAATTCAAGTAAAAATTAATTGCTTGATAAAAATTTTCATAGTATAATCCTAAATAATAATTTAACCGTAATTTTAAAACAACAAAATTATGTTCTTTTATATAACTATTTATTAGAAGAGTATTATTCCATTGAAAAAACAACTCGATTTTGAAAAATAAATTTACTTAGAATATTTATGAAAATAAATTTAGAGAAAGGTTATTTGGAGTTAAGTAGAATTTTTTACTTAAAAACACTTTCAGCCTATGTATACGTTTGTTAGTTATTAAAGTTAAGTTTAAACAACGAGTGTTAAAATTAATAGATAAAAAGAAATTCGTTCTATTATTTTTCTAAAACGTTTATAAAATAGATGCTTAAAGTAGATCAATAGGTAGAGTCGTGATAAAGAGGATTTATTTCTAACATATCATTACCATGTAATATGTTTGAATTGTATCATGCTGTGGCTTTTTAGATAACTAATTCATCAAACCATTTAGGCCAACTATATGTCACCTTGTGATTGATGTGGTTGTAGTGACAAATGCGGTAACTCAGGGAAAAACTCTTTTCAAAATCTTTTTTTTTCGTATTTTTCTTTTTTGAATAGCTGTATTTACTCAACACTTCTTAACCAGATCACCAAAATACAACCCAACTGAAAAACGACTGTTTTTTTTTGTAGATTTCATTTGTTTCTTCCTTTGTTATTATTTTTAATCCAAATAAATAGTTTACATTACATTTGTGAACTGATATTGTATATGCTTTAAAATGACATCAACATTTTTTTTCGTTTCGTTTTTGCGATAAAATCTGTGGATATACCTTTATGCTATATACAGAGCGCGTTTTAGAGAAAAGTTTGATGTACGTAATTAAAATGAGTTGGAACAAAAAGTAGATGGACTTAAAGTAGCTTAAAAAAATGTTTTGTTTAAAAAATAATATTCATTTACCTTTACCAACTTCTTACTTGTAAAGTATAAAACATAACTTTTGTAGCAGAATTTACAAAAATACAAAGGATATGAAATTTCTGTGATCTTAAAAAATTAAAAATAAAACATTACTATTAATAGTTTTTTTTTGTCTATTAATAAAAACTAAAATACAAAAAGAAAATATTACTAATATTTATCAATTTATTTCTAATGTACACATAATATGGTATTTATATTTTCGTTAAGAATAGTGTGAAACTACATAATAATATTAATATTTGTTATTTAAAATTATAGAAATGTTTTTTTTGTTATTTTGTCAGAGATACTCAAATCAATAAAACGAATAACTTATTAATTTCATAGAACCTTATTGATTTGGACGGCGTGCTTTTTTTTTAGGAAGGTTTTGTAGTTCAATTTAAATATTACACGGTTTTTAATAATTTGATACATTTCACAAATATGTATAATTAGATCAAATGATCTAATGGTAAAATAGTCCTGCAAAACTTACATTTCTAATCGTTACTGATGTTTTTCAAATGATTGCGCAATTATTTTCAAATTATGCACAGATATATTCATTTTAGTTAAGCCGTTTTTGTCAAGTCTTATCAGACCGCTGTTCATACGACTGACTCTAATGGGTTTTGGCGTAAGTATTGGGTGATTTACCATATAAGTGAAGGTGTAATATATTGTGCAAAGTTTGCTGATCGAATCATTTCTTTCAAATCTCTTAGTATGGTCAAACGGGTTAGTTTGGTATCTTCAAGCTATTCGGTTGAATGGCTTTCGATTTATTATTAAGTTTGCGATGAAAAAACACAACGTTTCAGGACAAAATGACTTGGATTGTTGTATGCGTGTAGCTTTTATTGCTCCTCCCTATTTCCTTTTTCCTCTTTAGGACAATGGGCTATTTCTGGCCATAGATCAACTCCTTGTGTTCTAAAACTACTAGGAAGAGAATTCAACGTCGTTGCGCTGACAGTAGTTCAACCATTTCTTCTTATAAAATCCTTTTATTTTTTAACAAAAACAACAAATGTATGCAAACTTTTTAAGTGAAACTTTAATTTTTTCTGTTTATTTTTTTTTAATACTGATAGGATTTAATTATTAGCTTGAATTATTTATTATTATATATGATATACAAATATGTACATTTGTTAACATCAACTTTAGTATATTTTATGTTTGATGAAATCAACTGCGTAAAATTAATCATAAACTGGTTCAGTATATAATTAAATTGTTTTGTAAGGAAATGTTAAATTACATTGTTGCCTAACATAACATAAATATATACGATATATTTTAGTAAATAAATATTACGAATTAAAAAGTGTATGAAACTATTGAAAAATTGAAATCGATTATTTTTTTCAGTATAAAAATTGAGATTAAATTTATGAATAATTTTGTATTTTGTAGTCTTATTGACGTATTGTATAATGTCAAAAGTGTCTAGATAAAAATAGGTCTTTATTTTTATAGATTTATTTTATTATATATTGATTCATACCATTAAGAATTATAAAATGTACTAGACAGAATGTTAACACGAATTATAAAGTGTGCAGTTTTTACATATTAATATTACATACATATATTGAATTACATATAATAACTATTAGTAAATTTATTAGTTAATTTAACTTGCTATGTTTGATTTATTGAAATGATATTGTTATTAGTTTAATCATTTTTATTTTTTTTTGAAAATTGATTTCTATAATTTTTTAATTAATGAAATTTAATGAGTTAATTTTTTATATTCATTAATTCAAATTCGGAACTAATATATTTAAAGTGTTTTATTTTTGTACCTCGTTATAAATATCTCAAGATATAGTTATTATATTTACTCTTATAGTTTTTGGGTATAAAATATTAGATTTGCATATTATTTTACCTTTTCAGTTTTATGAAGGTACTCAAGATAGGCTATTTAAAACGATTTAATTTTCACTGAAATCTGATACTTTGGAATGATTATTATAATATTTTTTATTCATAATTATTTACTTAAAAACTGAAATGTGAGTAAAGTTTAACACTTTTGCATATTCATTAAAAACTACTTTGAATTGTCCATTAATAAAATAAGTATAAAGTCTGAGATAATGTGACTACAGTTTTTAGAAGTAGAAATACATTTTTGGCTATTCTCCTTTTATTATTGATTATTATTGTATTACTGTTATTGTTACAATTTTTCTTGGCCTACAGCAATACTAGAACGTTTTGAAAATAGCGTAATAGTTGAAGCACACGAATGGTTTTTTATGTTACACAAAACTATTACTACTTTTAATAAAGTGTCTTCTTGAACAATTTTCCCGAATGACTTCTTTGTATGCTTTTTTTATCATTATACTATAGTGACACTGTTTTCAAGTACTTATTACTAATGAAACTTAAAAAAAATGCCTGAATACGCATATTCCGATTATCTCTCTTGTTAGCTTGTCCTCGAAAAGCCAATAAATTTTAATATTATAATGTTCATAATAAAGTAAAAAGTTTTTAATATTTTCGAGTTGTTTATTACTCAAAATATGACCTACCTTTTATCTAAAATTAATGTTTAAAAAAATGATGTAGAAGCAAAAATAATTTGATGGTTTAAATAAAAAAAAACTATTACATTAAAGCTATATTTTTTTATGAAACAACAATTGTATTATGTGATAATTATCACATAATCATTGATATTTATTAAAGTTTTACCATAAATTTAGTAAAATTAAATAACAAAAAGAGATCCAGTAATTTAATGGTATAGCATTTCTCAAACCAAAGTGAAATAGTTGTTTTTCCATATGACGTATTAAAATAATTGCAGTGCGCGATAGACAAAAACTTTTGATTGTTGAACTTTTATTACTATAAGTTTTTGTCTACAAATAATTTTCTACGGTATTTTCAACAAATTTCACATATGTATCATAATAATAACCTTATTGAGGCCTTTAATATTTAAAAGTAATTTTCGTTGATGTTATTCGTTGCGTGGGACATAACGGGTGTATACACTAAAACATATTTTGCAGGGCGATTTATATTAGATTTTATGTTTACTTTTCTGTATTTTAAATAAAAATTTTCAATTAAAATATATTTGTCATTCTTAATTTATACTTTTAAATAGAAAACTGGTGTATATTTATTTATTTAGAAATTTGAAGGCTAAAGATAATTATGAATTACTTAGTATTGACTTAAGTAAATTTTTGTTTAGTGCTAAAATAGGTTAACGAGCATCCTACAAAAAAAAAAAATCAATCAAAGGTTTAAAAACAAATATCAGAATTTTTTTTTAAGATTTGATTATTTTTGTAGATGTTCAACTGTTTGAATGTAATTAACATCGATAAGAAGAAAAATTTGAATTATGACTCTTATTAGCTGTGCATTTCTCATGTCTTTAAATGTAACTTAAGTATTTTAATAGACCTTATTTGATTTTCAGCACATTTGAATTATTGTGTTAAAAATAATTCAACTATCACTATTTTTTAGTATTACGTGGCAATACGTATTACGACATTATTATAAAAGGAAACATCTTTAAAAGTAATTTCTCTAATTTAATAACAAATGTATGAAAATAAAGTATTATCATGTCATGTATGGTTTCTTTGTTTTAATTATTATTGTGACAAATTATTGTGTATAGTTTTATACAGGGTGTTCNTATGAAAATAAAGTATTATCATGTCATGTATGGTTTCTTTGTTTTAATTATTATTGTGACAAATTATTGTGTATAGTTTTATACAGGGTGTTCAGTAAAATATAAATTTTGGATACTATCGTTTTAGCAAATATAAATATTTGTTCAATTAAACATCGAATGTGTTATTTTTGATTTACAGACATTTCGCCATGGATTTCCATACCAACCAACTGCTCTTGCCTTCGATCCTATTCAGCGGTTATTGGCCATTGGCACGAAGAACGGGTCCCTACGAATGTATCCTTTGTGACAAATTTATTATATTTACAAATATTTTAGTGTTTTTCAGTGGATAAAGAAATAATGTAGAATTTAGAAGTGACGTGTCATCGGGTAAGTGTCAAAAATTTATGAAACGAAATCCATTTGTTACAGACGATCAACTTTTTTTTTTTATTTCTATGCTTAATGCTGAGAAAAAATGAATGTGCTTTTATTTTTATTGTTGGTACTGTTTTTTATTATTGTATTATATTATTATTTCATTTTTTCATTAATCATTTTTGAGTTGGTCTTTGGAGTGTTAAAGAAATCATTTATAATCCAAAATATTTTACACGATATCTTACTTTTATTTCTTTGTTCTCAAAATGCTTTACGTTCACCCTTAGGCTACATCATTATGTCACGACAACAAGAATGAAATGTTCGCAGGATATCTTGTGCTCCTTAAATATAATATATGTGTTTTCGCAAACAACTTATGTATAGTGATGCTGTAATAATTACACAGCATACTGCCGCCAGCATAGTACTACTTCGGGGTGGGTTAAGAGAGTGTTGTTTGGAGTTTCTGTACACTGAACGGACAAAGAGTGTACAAATAACGTTTGTTTTGTGATGAACTGTGAAAAACATTATTTAGCCGAAAGTTTCAGTCGTGTATCGATTGAATAATAGTATAATAATAACGTATAAATAACAATTAAAATTTTATATATAATTATATAGTTTTAACGTTGTTATAATTTCTGAAAAACAACTTGAGAGTTCAAGTATCCATTTGTATTATATGGAAAACGGGAAACGGCTTCGTAGTTCAAACGAAGTAAGATGAGAAAGGGATGAGCGTGTGACTAGTCTCAGCTTAATGTGATTTTCCATTCGAAAACAATTTTTTCAACCGGTGTCACGACGAATTTTTAAATTACCTAAACTATGTAAAATTATATTGTAGTTATTTTCTCATTAGAACTTAGATTTTATCTCTAAATATTATTATACTTCATAAATATGGAAAAGTCCATTATAATAATCGTTTACGTATAAAAGTAACGCACAAATATTTAGATTTTGTTAAACCGTTTTTGTTTCATATTATTTTTCACTTAATTTTAAAACAGCACTTAAATATTCTTTCAATTGTATCGGTACAAAAACAAAAAAGTTTTTTTATTTTTTATTTAGTTCTGAGTGCAGTCCCGAGTATATATTTTATACGTTAACTAAGAAAAATATAACTATTATTAATCCGGTAGGCGTCAGCTTCTATTTTCATTCTTTTTACTATAGGAAAAGTAATAAATAGTATTTTGGCGTAAAAAAACTTTCTTGTGTTGTACCCATTTATTTAAAGGAAAAATATATTATGTATTAAATAAATAAATAAAAGTTCCTTGGTGGACTAGACGGCGCCGGCTTTTGCTGTTATGTACCCGCTGCTGTTATCCCAGTTTTCTCTATTTGCATTTGTGTATAACTAAATAAACATACATCGCCGACTCAAATCGATTCAGCTAAGCCCGTGCATTCTCGCCGTAGATCTTGTTCCCATAACTTGTTAATTCCTATAAGATAATTATATTTATAATTTCAATAATAATATTGAATATAAATTCAGACTATGGCATTACTTTGGTTTTTTACTAATTAGGGTATAAACAAATAACCGGGTCAACAAATATTTGACAGATTAATCTTTTATAAAATCATTTGCCAGATTATTATTTCTATCTGTGCGATCACTATATATATATATTATCTTTTTTTCCTCCGGAGAAACATAATTTTTAATAAATTAAATAAGATCGAATGATGGCAGTTAACTCAAAAGGTTAGGCGTACAAAATAAGATAAATTATGTTTTATTACATTAAATAATACCATGAAAGATATCTAAAACTAAGGTCAAAGACATGATCATTTTGTTCCTTTAGAGAAACATAGCTTACTTAGAATTTATACTCAGTGCCGTATAAAATAATCATTTCTTTATGAGCTCAATCTTTGTATATTGATATTCATTTGGTTTCATTTTAATTAATTTTTATTTTGTTGAACATTTTTACTAGAGAACTAATGAATTGATTTTAACATAGCAATAACAGCTCTATTGTTTTTTTATTTTTACATAATTATATTTAATTATTAACAATTATAGATTTTAATAGATGTCTAAAGGATAGAAAAAGATTCACTAATCAAATGGTATAAAAACATCGTAATATACACCCAGAGAAAAACCTCCATCTATATAATAAATTCATTGTTCAATTTGATAAATATATCATTACTATTGAATCAATGATATATTTATCAATATGATTTTTTTTTTCTTGTCTTGAACAATAATTATTTATAAGAATAGTTATTTTGTTCGTATTAATAAAACATTATCATAAACCCTTGATAAAATTTCTCTTTCAATTTTGATTGAGGTTTTTCTTTGGGTGTAGAGTGTTTCTTTCTACTGACTTAATTAAATTGCTCTTGATTGCTGCGTGATGTATTCATGGTAATAGTTGCATATTAATAATTACATATTCATGCAATTTTCATATTATAAATGATTATTTTACTTGGTATAATTCATTTCTAATAAGCAGATTATTCCTGGGTTTTTTTTTAAGGACATTATACTTTTTGAACATAATTTTCTATTTGATAAGAAAGTAACACAATATAATTTAATAATAAACAATCAATATCATGGCTATCTTACAAGCTGATGATTATAATATTTAATAACTCAAATAAAAAAGTTTAAAGTAAAACTATTCTAATAAAAATAACTGAATTTCCTCCCATTTTTAATAATAAATAGTTTATTGTATAATCTTTGAAATAATTACTACGATTATAAATAATTTTTACTTCTATGATTTCTTTCCTTGAATACATTAACAATACAAAGAAACTGTAGTTTAATATAACTTAAAATATATATTATAATGCTGATACACAATATACAGTTCAACAATATATACAGTTAATGCCGACTTTAGATATGCGACGACACAGGCAACTTTAAAAATTTAATTTGTGCTTAAAGCCAGCGTTGTATATAGTATATCAACAGATATTTAATTGGCAAGTCTATTCAAAATTATTCTTAAATAATTCTCACTTGTATGAATTTAAGTTATTTGATTCTATTTACTTTCTTTATTGAAATTTCAGCTACAAAAAACTTGGAAAAAGATTATTATTTTATAATTAGCGAATAAAATAAGCGAGAGGATAGTTATTTTGTCTTTTTACACTTAATGATTAACGAGTATCGAAAGAGATTAAAGATTATTCAATTGTTTATTAAGTAGCTTTAATTAAAATTCATAGATAATTGAAACCAGGGATTAATAACGTTATTTTTTCATAAATTAAATTCTATTTAACAACTCCAACGATTTTAGTCATTAATGTATTTTTTTTAATATGTAGAGTGATAAGTTCTCCTACAATATTTTCGTAAGTAAAAAGTAAAATATAATTTTATCTTTTCAGATGTTTTTAGTATTCGATCCACTACAATTAAAATATATATATATTTATATCATCTCTTTTTTCTCTTTAAAATTGTATTATCTTAATTTTTTTAAATAAAAAACATGCATGTTTCATTTGCTTACAAATAAGAAAATAATCCAACCAATAAATTGGTTGATGACAACTTTTATGTTTAAGTGCCTAGAGGCGGAGAAATCGTCTCAACGAGACTCTTAATCTCGGGGTAGTAGGTTAGTAGAACTACTATAGTTTATGCGTCTGATCATCAAAATTATACTTAAAATCATGTGGAAAAATAGACACGTTGCAGGATTAGAAACCGCAACCCAAAAATCGCACAGACAAACCATACTACTAGATTACCGTACACTTATGATTAAGATTCCAATACATTTCTATATAGGCTGATAACGTGATATACAACTGAGGAAAACACGGTACCTTATCAAATGGTTATTAAATGTATTATATAAAAAAATATATACACAAAATATAAATTTACTCGTTAAAGAAATTTACGTAATTCAAAAAAATAAAAGTTTTTCACCCCTGATTTGAAATGCTACGAGTTCTGAAGGTCTAAACTTAAAAACTAGGTTAGAAGGAACTCCTTATTCTCATCGAGAATCCATTTAGCATATAATAATTTTGTGTATCGTTGTGTATTTGGTCGTTGTCTATTTCCGTAAAGTTAGTGAAAATTTTGTTTATTTAAGTATTTTAAAATATCACTGTGAAATTGGTTTATTTGTGCATTGTGTGTAGATATATTTTAATTCCGTTTTTACTTCTATAGATAATTCATTTATGTTAATAATTGTTTAACTTATGCGATTGACTAAGCTGTTATTAGTGTTACAATATGTATAATTTATTTATCACAAATGAAATTCAACTAACTCTGTTGAATAAATATCCACTAATATTTTCGCTGAGATTGATTTGGTTTTAATTTCCGTTTTCTTGGGTAAAATATACACCGGAAACATTTTAACCGGATGTCGCTAGCCTCTAGTTAATATTTAATTTACTGCGAACATAAAATTTATTATATAACCTAAAATTTGATTAAAAAGTCAATGTTTAAAGAAGTTCTAAAAAAAGAACCACGTTTAATATGTTTTTATCTGAACACGCAAGGATTAATTATTTTCATCAATAATAATTTTATTGTCGACAAAAATAAATGTATTGTAACCCTTATTACTAATTCAAATAGCTGTTGTTCTTTTTTATATTAATGATTTTCTCTGCATAGAGTATATCATTGTTAAATAAGTATATATTATTATGTTGGTATATATATTATGTGTACATATATAAATTATCAATATTATTTTTATTTCATTTAAAAAAACTTTTGGTTAGTTAAATTCTAATGATTCTGTATACATAAAAAGAATGTAATTCTAGAAAATTTACCCTTTAAATGTATACCGATTACTTATTTAAGATAAAAATTGTATGGACACATTTTTGTAGTATTGGAAATATTTTTCTTTGAAATATTA